GATATTCCATCAATTCCTGGAGCCTTGTTCTTTGCCAATTCCTTCAGTGCAGCTTCAAATTCTTCTTTCAATACCTTTGGTTCTTGATCATATGCCACCTCCTGAAATGAATGAACATCGACCAATTCTTTTTGGTACAGTGATTCTGTGTATTCCTTCCATCTTCCATTTATGTGCCAACCATCAAAGCCAAAGATGAGGAAACTGAAGATATCTACCAATTTCTGCTGTCTGAAATTGACCAAACATGCAATCAAGATGTGTTGATTATCACTGGTGACAGGAATGCAAAAGTTGGAAACAAAGAAGAATTACCGGTAGTTGGCAAATATGGTTTTGGTGATAGAAATAACGCTGGAGATTGCATGATAGAATTTTGCAAGACCAACAATTTATTCATTGCAAATATCATTTTCAACACCATAAGCGACAACTATACACATGAACTTTACCAGATGGAATACATAGGAATCAGATTGACTACATCTGTGGCAAGAGGCAATGCAGAAGTTCTGTATCTTTGGCTAAAACCAGGCCAGGAGCTGATTGTGGAACAGACCATCAACTGCTCATATGCATGTTCAAGTTGAAGTTGAAGACAATTAAAACAAGTACACAGGAGCCAAAATATGACCTTGATAATATCCCTACTGAATTTAGAAACCATCTAAAGAATAGATTTGATGCACTGAACACCAATGACTGAAAACCAAAGGAATTGTGGGATGACATCAAGAACATCATCCATGAAGAAAGCAAGTTGTTGTTGTTGTTATGTGCTGTCACGTCGGACCTTAGTCACAGTGACCCCTCCTTGGGTTTCCAAGGCAGTATTACTATGGAAGTAGATTGCCTAACCTTCCTTCTGAGGAGTGGCTGGTGGGTTTGAACTGCCAGCCTTCTGGTTAGCAGTCAAGTGCCTTAGGTACTAAGCTACCAGAGCTCCCAAAGAAAGCAAGAGGTCATTAAAAAGATGAAAAAGGAAGAAAAGACCAAAATAGATGACACAAGAGACTCTGAAACTTGTTCTTGAGCAGAGAGAAGCAAAAGCAAATGGAAGAAATGACAAGATAAAAGAGCTGAACAGAAGATTTCAAAGAGCAGCTTGAGCAGACAAACCCAATTACTATAATGAAATGTGCAAAGACCTGGAGTTAGAAAACCAAAAGGGAAGAACACGCTCAGAATTTCTCAAGCTGAAAGAATTGAGGAAAAAAATTAAGCCTCGAGTTGCAATACTGAAAGATTGATAATTTCCATCTTTTAGACTAGAGTTAAACTTAACTCCAAACTAAGAATGATGCTTGTCTTGAGTAGCCAGATATTACCTATTCCCCCAACTTCATACTGCATATAGGGCTCATCTCATGTTCTAGAACTTTCCTATATTAACCATCTTCTTCTAAGCTTACTTGTCTCAAGCATCGGGTAAAAATATCCTTATTCATTTAATAATGAAAGTTAAGAGATCATTAATTGTTCCCAGGTAAAATATCAGTATTTTATTTACTGGAATTTTTATTTATAGATCTACTCCAAAAAAGAAATGAGTATCTTAGAACAGAAAAACATGACACAATAAAGCAACAAGCAAACAAAAACAACTCAAAGACTGAAGAAAGTAAAATCAATTAATTTACGGGATATGAAGGCCAATGGATTTAAAAACTCCTTATATCAACAACCAATGCTGCACCAAAAAAATGCATAAAATTAGCTTTGAGCATCCTGGTACTCAAGCAACCAAGGAAACAGCTATACACTTTGATTACTTTTAAGAAGCTGTGTGACTTTGGAAAAGTCATATAACCTCTCAAGTGCCTTGGTTTACCTATTGATAAAATGGGAAAGATAATAATATTGGTAATCATCATTATTATCATTTCATCACCATAATTTTTCTTGTCCCTAGACATTGAAAAGAAATGAGTTATGGGGACTGTGGTAGTTAAGTTGTGTGTCACTTTGGCTGGGCCTGATTTTGAGTGGTTGGGCAGCTGGATGTAGTTATTCCCTCATGATGAAACTGGTAATCAACTTCATGGTGGAATCTACTGGAACAACTGGTAAGCCTTAGGGATGTGGTCTGCTTCCAGTACATAAGAAGCAACTTTGAGAAAGGTCTTTGTACTTTTTTGGCACACTTGGACCCTGCACATAGCCGAGTCTTCATCTCAATGGCCTGCTATGTTGTCTGCAGATCTTGGAACTGTTAATGGACTTGAATTAGTGGTCTGCCATGTTGCTTGATAATTTTGGGACTGTGCCATTTCACTTGTTGATTTTGGGTTTGTCAGCCTCAGAAGCCAGCAGGTGTCTGAGTTAAGAGAAGCCTCCTGCTCCAATAGGCCAGGAGCAAGAGGCAGAGCTGAAGTCCAAGATCAAGGGACTTTCACCCAGCTCCTAGACCTTGGCACTTTGGACTTGGACTTCTAGCCTCCTAAAATGTAAGGGAATAAACTCTTGTTTGTTAAAGCCACCCATTTGTATTTTCTGTTAGAGTAGCACCAGAGAAACAAAACAGGGGCTATGGAAAAAAAAAAAAAAAAAAAAAGATGATATTCATAGAAAATTTCCAAAAATGGAGACATTTCCCACAAATAGTTACTTCTTAGATCAAACTATCATATAGTCATGGGCACACAATTTAAATTATTTAACGATCTCTCAACTTTTTCTATTAATTTCCAGAAAAGGACCTGTCTTTGTTAGATAAGAGGACTTTCTAAGATAATGAAACTGTTACTTGGAGAGATTAAGTAACTGGAGTTAATTAGTGCTCCTCCTGACCCCTAACTAAAGGAGAGAAAAGGAGAAGCTATCATTGATGTATAAAGCCTTTAAAGGAACAGGAATCTGGGATAGGAGACTAATGGGAGACTTTACAGCACCTGGAAGTATAAGGAAAAAAAGGCCCAAGAAGTGGGGCAGGGATTCAGGAAGATGTTATAATTTAACTCCATCATTTGATCCAGGGTTAATTTTACCTTAAGCTAGGAATCAGAGTTATCAGAAGCTTGGATGGAAGGATCCAAAGAAATATGGGTAAACCAAACCTGCTGTCACTGAGTAGATTCTGACCCTCAGTGACCCTATAGGACAGAGGAGAACAGTTCCATAGAGTTTCCAAAGCTGTAAATCTTTAGGGAAGCAGATTGCCACATCTTTCTCCCAGGGCTGCTGAGTTCTAACTATGGTCCTTTTGGTAAGCAGCCCAGTGCTTAGCCCCTGTACCACCAGGGTTCCAGAAATATTAGTTGTTGTTGTGATGTGCCGTCGAGTCTTCTCTGACTCATAGTGACCCCTCCTTGGGTTTCCAAGGCGGTATCACTACGGAAGTAGATTGCCCAACCTTCCTTCCAAGGAGTGGCTGGTGGGTTTGAATCTCCAGCCTTCTGGTTAGCAGTCAAGTGCCTTAGGCACTATGCTACTAGAGCTAGCAGAAATATGGGTAGGGGATAAAAACATCGAGGAGGGTTAAAGTTAATGAAAAAAAAAAAAAAAACCCACTCTTTAAGGAAAGCAGTCAGCTACATAGTAGATTAGACATTCCTGCTCTTTAATTGTTAGCAATAGGAGGGAGGAGTAAAACAGGATCGGGTTAACTATTTTAACAATTAACTTTTGAGACTTTCAGAGCCAAAAGAATGTGGGACTCCTGCAGTGCTTCTTTTTACCTGGATAAGCACCTAGATGCATTCATTCTTTTACCCAAAAGAGTCATTTTCAGTCAATGGATGCCACCTGGCTGCAAAGGCTTTCTCCTGTAGTATCCTTCATGTGAGTGGTGGTGAGAAGGATGCTGGACTTGGGAGCCATCTGTTGTAGTGCCAGGGGGTCCTAATATGAATCAGCCCAGGGATAAAACCAACATGAAGTAGTCACAAAAAGGGATGTTAACTAGTGGAAAAGAAATAGCAGAATGAGTTTGAAAGAGGGACAGAAACAAAAGAATTGTGTAGTGGTTTAGAGGAAGAAAAAATGGACTTTTACAAAAATGACTAGTCCATGGAGAATATAAGAAGTTATGCAACTAAAACAAAATGAAATAGAGTTTGGCAGGGGGGATGTTAAATGATTTAAATGGGGTGCATTTGTATGTACATATATATATGTATATATGGTATATATATGTATATATGGTGTGTGTGTGTGTGTGTGTGTGTGGTATTATGTATAGCCAGAAAATAAGTATTAGATCTTAAGTCCAAATTCTCAAAAGAGACATGGCAGGTCTCAAGAACTAAGCATCAAATCTCAGGACAACTAGGCAGGGAGCTTAAAGGTACAGCATATTCTATCTGTTCTTCCTCTGCCTGCTTTCCTCTCTTTTAATGAGAATATAAATGAGTGACTTATTTAGCCGATTGAAATGCAGTGCCATAGGATCTGGGGGGTGGGAAGGAGCATGGAGAAGGAATATGGCATGAGTAACTCCTTAGGGGTTAATGGGCTTTGAAACCTCTTTGCAAGGCTCCCAATTTTCCATCTTGTAAATAAGCATTTGTTAGCTTTTTAAGACTATTGAAAATGTAGAAAGAGTAAATCTCTTTTGAGAATTAAAACTGTCTCTCTGCATTCCACATTCATCCTACTGTGTTCTAATACCAGTGGCAATTAATTCAGCTGGAAGTCCAAGGCTCATTCTTTTCTTCTTCTCTCACTCTGGCACCCTAAGATCCCAGTAAGTTTGGAATGTAGTGGTCTGGATTAAAATGTATTGTTGCTGATATTTCCTCCAACTGGTGCTAACAACCTCATTAGTACTTCATTACAATAAAAAAAAATTAAATAAATGACAAAGCCAGAGAAAATTTAATTTGTGAGGACAGAAATCTAAAGGCAATTAAAAAGCCCCAAAAATGTCCCATTAATATTTTTCATATATTGTTATAGCCAAGACTATAGCCAAGAACTGATTTTTTCCTTCAAATGACCACAACTTTTTGTGAAATTGAATCTATGTAAAAGAATTAAAAGTGGGACAGGCCTTCACATACCCATGCTTTCCTTTGATAAGTCATCATCTGAACAAACATTTCCAAAAGAGCATTTGAAATTAGCATTCCTAGAAAAAGAACTTGACAGATTTAGATTCAAAAGTTCAATCATGTACATTTAAATAACCATTCATGTATATTCACTGGCAATTGTAGGAAGATTATGAATATCTATTCCTTTCCCTTGAGGTAAATTTTTGGGGCGTTGTTATATACAGTAGTTATGGCAGCATGATACAGTGCAAAAACAATCAAAAAGGAACAATATTGATTAGCAAATATACTGTATGTAAAGCACTAACAATGTACAAAACACCTCACAGAGGCTACTCCATGCAATCCTCCCCCCCCCCCATTACTAAGTGATATTTCACTCTCATTCTATAGCTAAAGAAACTGAGTTTCAAAGAAATTGAGACATTTGCCAATATAGAAAAACTGTTGAGCAGGACAGAACTAAGATCTGTCAGACTGCAAAATTCATGCTTTTCCACTCTCCAATGTTGCTGATTTAATCAGAAGATATTTGTTCAAACTCATTTGCTCTAGCCATAAAATCTTGAAAAAGTTACTTCTCTAAGGCACAAATTCTTTACCTATTAAATGGAGATAATTACGATATTTAACCAATAAACCAAAACCAAATTCACTGATGTTGAGTCGATCTCAACTCATAGTGACCCCTCCTTGGGTTTCTGAGGCAGTATCTCTACGGAAATAAATTGCCCACTCTTCCTTCTGAGGAGTGGATTATGGGTATGAACTGCTAGCCTTCTGGTTAGCAGTCAAATGCCTTAGGCACTATGCCACCAGAGTGCCCATTTAACCAACAGTAATCCCTATTGTTGGGCTTACTGTGAAGTGTAACTGAAATAAAACAGTAAAAATTCTTTTTAAGAATGTATTCACTTGAAAATAACAAAGAAAGAATATCTATTAGGGCCCATCTTTATTTTTGAGGACTCCTTTTGAACACAGGACTGATCACTGTTTATTAAAAAATAAGTAAGTAAATAAAATGGTTCAATAATAAACACTAAGACTTGTCATCAGGCGCTCTGGTAGCATAGTGCTTAAGGCACGTGACTGCTAACCAGAAGGCTGGCGGTTCAAATCCACCAGCCACTCCTCAGAAGGAAGGTTGGGCAATCTACTTCCGTAAGTGATACTGCCTCGGAAACCCAAGGAGGGGTCGTTATGAGTCGGGTCCAACTCGATGGCTCATAACAACAACAACAACAAGACTTGTCACCAGTGGCTTATTAGTTCATCATGAAGGTCTGTTTCTGGTCTGCATTACCTATTTTAAATTAAAAATTGTGTTTCTTATCTGGTTGCTCTCATAATATTAATCACTGAAAGTTCTAGTTCAACATACTTCTATACATATAAAACTTTCTTCCTACTTTTAAAGCTACTAGTTATCAATTTAGGAGCTCTGGTAGCATAGTGCCTAAGGCACTTGGCTGCTAACCAGAAAGCTAGCGGTTCAAACCCACCAGCCACTCCTCGGAAGGAAGGTTGGGCAATCCTACTTCTGTAGTGGCACTGCCTCGGAAACCCAAGGACGGGTTGCTATGAGTCAGGGCCAACACGATGATACGTAACAACAACAACAACAGTTATCAATTTAAATTTAAATTATTTTTGAAAATTTTAAACAGTGTTTCCCTAGAGAAACAGAAACAGGAATTAGGGAGAAAATATCATAGATATATAAATTATAAATGGAGAGAGAGAGAGCTTGATTTTAATTTTTTCAAAATGTTTTTTTAATTTTAAGGAGCATACCTTTTTCCTTTTCTAAATTTAGGTTTTTTCTTTTCAATATTAGTTTTGGAAACTTGCATCTGTAAAATAACAACAAAAACAATGAGTTTGATTGTATGGGCCTAGACCAGCTTAGTATGACAATGAGTCCTAAATTATCCAAGTAACTCAGCACAGAGGAAAACTCTGACTCATAGCCCTGAACACCACCTGTAACTGCTCAACCACCTCAGAGTCACAAGACTGCTACTGAATTGATTGACTCAGCTTCCAGCAAAATGATGGCATGATCTGATGTATATCTCCACCATCTACTCACTTTCACAAAAAAAAAAACATAAAAATACCAAATAAAACAAAATTTAAGTTTTAAGATATAATAGATCTTTAAAGAAAGAAAATAAAATACTCATATTCTAGAAGCATGTGGAATGCAATAGCTATAGTTACAGATGTGAGCTCTGGTAGCATAGTGCCTAAGGCACTTGACTGCTAATCAGAAGGTTAGCTGTTCAAACCCACCAGCCCGTTCTCAGAGGGAAGGTTGGACAATCTACTTCCATAGTGATACTGCCTCAGAATCCCAAGGAGGGGTCGCTATGAGTCGGGTCTGACTTGACGGCACATAACAACAACAACAACATAGTTACAAATGGGCACAGACATGGTGAATTTATAAAATTCACAAACAAATTGTAAAAATAAAGGGCCAAAATGGCTTGGCACTACAGCTTTAATGTCTAAACAAAACAAGTGACAAGTTTTGGGGTCCATACTAGTTACAGGGCTGTACTGAAAATGTTCTTTCAAGCACAAAGAGTTAAAGGACTTTCTGAATAAAAAGATAATTGGCAAAATTCTACTCACCAGGGCAGGAAAACAACAACAACATAATATGCAGTCTGTCTAAGGAAATGGTCAAGAAAAGAGCAGTACTTCTAAAAGAATGAAAATTTCAGGCCTATACCATGAAAGTGAAATTAAAATGTATACTTGAGTATATTAGAATTCCCAAATCAAATAATTAGTAAAAAGTTCCCTCCAGGATCTCTAAAATCACTAAGTTCAGAAGAAAACACAAAAGATACAATTAATATACAGACATCACAGAATCTTTAACACTATTATTTCAGAAATATTACAATTAAGGGCACATAGAAATTCCTGAGAAAGAACAACTGTATAGATCCATATAAATAAAATTCACAAACAGGCAAATTAATCAATCCATTCATCATAAAATTAAAAAATTTATTCATCTTCTGAAAATGACCAAGAAGAAGAAAGATTATCTATTATTGCCAGTCTGTTAGACCAGCCTAACAAGTCAAGATAGCGGTTACCCATGGAAGAGGGGAACACGTCTAGAAGAAAACGAGAACACTTATGACGTTCTGGAAAGGTTCTGTTTCTTTATTTAGTGTTGATTTACAAGGGAATGTTTGTTTTGTGAAAAGCTTTCAACTGTACACTTACGATTTGTATTTTTCTACAATGACATTATTTAAGTATATGACATTAAATCTATGCTAAAAATAAATATGCTTAAAATTATTAAAAGGATAAAAAGTGAATAGAAACCATAATGAACAAGGTCCAGTCTCTATGACATCTATGACAAAAAATACAGAAAGAGTTGATAAAGGACCAACATTTTCCAGAAAAGGAAAGTCAAGTCAATAAAGTTAAAATTCAGTGAATGATTAAAGAACACACTATTAAACTACCAACAGGTCAAGAAAGAAATCAAAAGAGAAATCACAAATTTCTTAGAGTTAAATTAAAATGAAAGCACAGTGTACCAAGACCTATGGGATGTAGAGAATGTGGTACTGAGGGAAACTCACTGCAATAAATGTCTACATGAACAAAAGAAGTATGATTTAAAATGAACAGACTAATTCTACAGCTTAAGGAACTAGAAAAAGAAAAACAAACTAATCCTGAATCTACCAGAAGAAAGGAAATAACAAAGACAAGAGTAGACATAAATAAAATTGAAAACAGAACAGCAATACAGAGAATCAATTACACCAGAAGTTGGTTCTTTGAAAAGATAAGTAAAATTGACAAACTTTCAGCTAGACTAAAATAGAAGAAAAAAGATGCAAATAACCAAAATAAGAAATATAAGAGGGATGTTATAACTGACCCAATAGAAAATTATGGCAGAATATTATGAAAAACTGTACAGTAACAAACTAGATAATCTAGATGAAATGGACAAAATTTTAAAAGCACACAAGTCACCCAAATTGACTCAAGAGGAAACAGAAAATCTCAAAAGACTCATTAACAATTGAAGTGATCGGATCAATGATCAAAAACCTCCCAAGAGAAAAGACCTAGACCAGATAATTTCACTGAGGAATTCTACAAAACATTTATAGATCTGACACCAAAACTGTTTAAATTCTTCCAAAAGATAGAGAAGAAAGGAATACTCTCTAATTCATTCCATGAAGCAAACATAACTCTGATACCAAAACAAGAAAAAGACATTACAAGAAAAGAAAACTACAGGCTAATACTCCTTAGGAATATAGAGGCAAAAATTCTCACCTAAATACTAGCATACAGAATCCAACACATATTAAAACAGTGATATGCCAAGACAAAGGAGCTCTGGTAGCGTAGTGCCTAAGGCATTTGACTGTTAACCAGAAGGCTTGCGGTTCAAACCCACCAGCCACTCCTCGGAAGGAAGATGGGGCAATCTACTTCCGTAGTGATACTGCCTTGGAAACCCAAGGAGGGGTCTCTATGAGTCGGGTCCAACTTGACGGCACATAACAACAAATGCCAAGATGAAATGGGATTTATTCCAGGAATGCAGAGAGAGTTCAACATTAGAAAATCAGTTAATGAAAACCATATCAACAGAACAGAATAAAAGAACTAGATGATCATGTCTTTGGATACAATAAATGTATTTGATAAAATCCAACACACTTTCTTGACAAAAACTGACAAGAGTATTGGAACAGAAGGGAAGTTCTTCAGTATTATTCAGGGAATATATGAAAAATCAATGGTTTACATTATAGTTAATAAAGATTGAGAGCTTTCCCCTTGAAATTGGGAACAAGATAAGAATGCCAGCTCTCACTACATCTACTCAATATTGTATTAGAAGTCCTGGACAGCATTAAGACAAGAAAAAGAAATAAAAGGTATCCAGATTGGGAGAGAAGAAGTAAAATAATCTTTATTCATGGGTGACATGAATATATACATATATACATACATACATACATACATACGTATATATATATATATATCCCACAGAGTCTGCAAAAAAGCTTCTAGAGCTAATACAGGAATTCAGTACAATTGCAGGAACAAGGTCAGGAGCAAACAAAAATCAATTGGGTTTTTATACACCAGCAATGAAAAATCCAAAAGCAAGTAGGAAAAACAATTCTATTTATAATAGCATCTAAGAGAACAGAATACCTATGAATAAATTTAACCAGGGATGTGAAAGACTTTTGCAATGAAAATTATAAAATGCTACTGAAAGAGATTAAAGAAAAATTAAGGTAAAATTTTTCTATGTTCATACATTGAAAACACTTAACATTGTTAAGATGTCAGTACTACCCAAAGCAATCTGCAGATTCAACATAATCCTATCAAAATCTCAACAGCTTTCTTTACAGAAATGGAAAAACCAAAATCTTTTATGGGATGGCAACAGGATCCAAATAGTTAAAGCAATTTTGAAAGAAAAGAACAAAGTAAGAGAACTCACACTTTCTTATTTTAAAGCAATAAATAGCCAATAGTAATCAAAATAGCCTGGTACTGATATAATACTGGTACTAGTACAACAGACACACAAATGGAATAGAAATGAGAGTCCAGAAATAAACCCACACATTTATGGTCAACTGATTTTTGACAAGAGCACTAAGTCCATTCCATGATGAAAGAAGAATCTCTTCAATAAATGGTGGTGGGAAAATTAGATTTCCACGTGTAGAAAAATGAAAGAGAATCCAAGCCTCACACCACATACACAGAAAAAATTAAAATGTATTAAAGACCTAAATGTGCAAAATATAACCTTAAAATTCTTAGAGGAAAATGCAAGGCAAAGCTGTTGCAGCTACCTTTAAGAATGAATTATCCAGTATAATAACAAAAGCACAAACAGCAAAAGACAAAATAAATAAACAGGACCTCATAAAAATTAAAAACTTTTGTTCAAGAGACTTTAGTAAAAAAAAAAAACTCAACTAAGATCAACTAAGACAATATCTTCAGGAGCCATATATTCAATAAA